TTGTAAAATAGGCTTATTACCATCTTGTTTTGTAGGTTGTTTTTTTTTTTAATTTTTTTTTACAGAAATAAGAACCTATATAAGAATCTAAAAGCCTAAAATTGTGTTAACTACCATTTAAATAAGAACTTGCGTAGGCTAACTCAAGAAAAGGTAGGTTCTTACTCGTGGGTTTTTACTGTAACTCTCCAGTTTATTAAAGCTCGAGGATCAGCCCGTTTCTATGGAACTTCGGTGAAAAAACGTATCCCTGAAATTTAATTGGACCCTTTCTTATAACTTAAAGTATCTATTGTTTACCTTTAATAGCTCCAGAAGCAACAACAACAACTGCTCTAGCTGTTCCAGTAACGACAGCAATTGTTCCAATAACAACAACAGCGACAACGACAAAAACTGCAGCTACAAAAACAACAACAACTTCTTCAACTGCAGCAACAACGACAACAACAACAACAACAGCAACAACAACCACAGCTCAAGATGATCCAACTGTAACAACAACAACATCAGCTGCTCCAACAACGAATTCCTACAACTTTGAGGTATAAAGCCAAAACGTTACGATTCTTCTTCATGATCCTCTTGCTAGTCATGCCAACATTTAAGTCATAAGTCATTTTTAATGATGCGTTCCTAGTGTTCATCATAGACTCTAACCTTTTTTCTATCAATCAACACTTGCGCTGGCCTTCAGTTTAACTAAAAAATTAAAAGTGTTTATAGTGTTTTACTATAATTTAATTTTCTTTTTCTTTTTCACAAAGGAGTCTTGGAACTTTACGACCCCAGAATACCCAGACCACTGGACTCTTATCGCCAGATTTTCTAACAAAGACCAGAAGAACTGGATGCGAGACGATGGACTCTGGTGGTATGACCAAGATTATCCTATAGGTAGTAGATCTGATCCGTCGGTCAATGCTGACATGATCGCACCGGCCTTCTGGTATCTCAGAGGTAACGAGTTTAAGATCACGCGCAGTGATGACTCCAGTCATACGCCCCTGTTGCAGACCACAGGGAACTGTCTGGGTGGAAAAACATTTCGATCCAAAATCACAAGTTATGGCAACTTTAGAAATGGCAAGGTTTGGTCCAACGACACCTGCCTGGGAAGTTGTTTTGTTCAATATGGTGGTCAGTACAATTCAACAGACGGGTTTCAACAGGCTGGGTGNAAGATTATCCTATAGGTAGTAGATCTGATCCGTCGGTCAATGCTGACATGATCGCACCGGCCTTCTGGTATCTCAGAGGTAACGAGTTTAAGATCACGCGCAGTGATGACTCCAGTCATACGCCCCTGTTGCAGACCACAGGGAACTGTCTGGGTGGAAAAACATTTCGATCCAAAATCACAAGTTATGGCAACTTTAGAAATGGCAAGGTTTGGTCCAACGACACCTGCCTGGGAAGTTGTTTTGTTCAATATGGTGGTCAGTACAATTCAACAGACGGGTTTCAACAGGCTGGGTGCAGTGGCGAGCTGCAACCCAACAACAAGATCGGCTTCTGGTGTCAATGGAGTAGAGGCGATGGATCAGTGATGATGATTGGTGGAGGAGGAAGTGACTGTTCACGTGCTGATCACGAGATTGGTATTACAGAGGCTAACCAGGCTTCTTTTGTTGAATATGACAGCGATCCGACTGAATATGATTTTGGATACGACGCTCACGCAGAAGATACTCCATCCCTGAGCTATGCATTAAACCTGTGGGTCCGTTGGTCCTATTGAATGTCGTTAAACACCCAAAACTCAAGTCATCAAGTAATTAGGAAGTTTAAAGGAATGTCAAACTGTAACACACGACCGTAACTTAAGCTTGGTGCAAACGGACGCAACATTGTTAGCCAAAAACTATCAAGATTGTTGGGAGTTGATGCGTCCGTTTGCACGTAGCTAAAAGTTTGACCGGTTTCAAAGTTTGCGCAATAACTGCCAACGACACGCAAAAACATGCAACAGAGTGTGCAAACGGACGCAACATGTAACATTCAACAACGTTCCTTCCGTTTGCATGGATGGAGCTTTAAAGTACAGAATCCATTTGCTTAATTCTACCTCGGTATGATAAATTGCAAACGAGGTCCACTTTTTTCGAATAATTCGTGTTAATTATAATTCCTAGTTTGCTTGCCAAGTATAACAACTGAAGAAGTAGATTCCTTGATATCGCAATAAGCATGTCGTTTTGACCGAAATGACGATTCTTGATAGTGTTGTAAAGTATACTGAAGATATTTTGGGGATCTGTCTAAATTGTCCTTTCGAGTTTCGTGTTTGTTTCATTGAGCGTGTCAAGGTTAGTCAGGATTTTGTCTATGGGTGTTTCTTATAAAAACCGGCACTATTTGGATTTTTAAGAGTCAGGAGTTTTGTAGTGAGTAGTTTACGTTGGAGTTTTCTGAATAAAGAAATAAGAAGATGTCAAAAAGACTCGGTAACTTCTTGCTTAGTGGGCGAGTTGCTCGAACGCCCCTGCATATTTTGCGGCTGGAGAACCCGGGTAACGCAAATCAAATGAAGCCATTTGTTGATCCGAATTTAGAGCCAATAGATTCTCCACCTTTTGATGACCCTGCCGAGCTGTGCATTCATAAGTCTGATATTCCAAAAGGTTGTTTTGAGCCAAATGCTGCTGAAGCGAAACCTAAACACTCTGAGTTAAATCCAGCTGGCAATGACACATTTCGACAACCCTCAATAAGAGAAAGAATCAAACAAAGAATCAAGCCTGACTTTTCGGTGGTTGATACTGACTCTAAACGTTAATTTGCAACTAATAATTTCCACTTGTCTACAGCTATTTTGTGCTTCTTATGCATATTTTATGTCAGGGGAGCTTAATTTTCCATCCTTTTTGCAGCTCTCATCGACAGCTACTGCTTAACATTTCCGCCACTTCTACGCTACTCTTTTCTTTGCTCTCTTCAAATGACTTAGGTAGATATGCGACGGTACATATATGAAGTAGAAATCCAAGTTCTTGCTCATTTCAAACACTAAAATAAGTCAATCACCTGGAACTGCGGGGTCCCAATGAGAAACAGATCCGAATCACACTGTAGTGCGTGCAATGTAGCCCTTGATCTAAAACCGGAAATTAAGTTTTCCAGACCGCTGAGAAGCATCAGGAAAAAAGAAATAAAAACAAAAACAGTATGTTACTTAACAGTCGACAGAAGAAAACAGAATCCTAGCGAGGTACGTTAAAACATTCTGTTTTTTTCATATATATATATATATAAAGAATACCGTTTAGCAAGGGTCGATTATTGCAATGTAAAAAAGAAAACATAACAAAGAAACCGATCAAATTAGGTTTTATCATTTTACAAATTTAGGATTGAAAAACTTCATATAGAGATTACGTAAGCATCAAAAGTCGAAATATTAACAAGGAAACATCAACGACACAACAGCTTACTTAGGAGACTAAACAAGCTTAGCCGGCTCTAAAGCTCTAAATTGAACTTAGAAAAAAAAAATCAGGATTCCGGACCGCTGAGAAGACTGCGCTTTTGTATGAATGTTTCCATTTCATGAAACCAGCGGCTTATATAAGGGGGCTTCTCGCTTGGTCTTGGGTTGTCGGATGAAGAAACCATCCGCAAAGGAAGTATATTTACCTAAGCAAACTTTTAATTTATGAAATAATAGAAACTGCATTTGATCCATCTATCAATGGTATAAAGTTTGCTTTAAATGTCGCCGTCAGTGAGGGATGAATTACCTTCATTTATAAATAGCAGTCTTGACTACAGGTCTCAGCCTACTATAACATTATAAAAATACAGTCATGTACAGTGCTTGAGACTAATCTGAATTTGGATCGGACGACCCTTTCAGAAATTAAAGAACGCAGTCAAATGAAATAATCTGTTCTTTAAAGTACCAAAGTTGGTTTCACGATCTGGTTTCCCAGCTCTTAGGATGTCCCTGGCATTGTTTACGATTTGCCTAATATCCCGAATGTATGGAGCTGAGGCCGCAAATGGGCAATGCAAGCCTGTTGAAAGATCAGTATCTGGTAAAGCTCTCAAGGGTCACACGTTTAAAGAACTTGTGGTAAGAGCCCCTTTTGAATGTCAAAATTTCTGTGAAAACGACCCCAGATGTGCAAGCTACAACTACTTCATTCCAGGAAGAGTGTGCGAACTGAACAGCAAAACCAAGGAAGCAAAACCTGACGATTTTGTAACAGATGAACAAAGATTCTATATGAAATGTGAAGGTATGATTAATTGTCATTTTCAGTGTATTCAATACTTGAAAGAAGAGAGCCAACGTTAAGAACGTGTAGTCAAACCTGGCAGTGACAAAATTGCAAAACTTTACGACTCATTTCATTGTCTTGTAATTTCCAGAAGATACTTGAACACAAAAGAAACCAGGAAAATATAGACTGCTCAAATACGAGCAGAAAGCCTGACAAGGCATGTTAGAATTTTGATACGAAACGATCTGCATCAATAAATCTTAAACTAACAAGCGGTATGTTAACACAACTCAATATAACTTATTTTATCTTGACCCCCATAGAAATGGTTCTATCAAATATCGCCCTTATGCATATGTTTGTAATGCCGGCATAATTTATGAAAAGAAAGGCAAAATCAATTACTTGGTCTGAATTAGGAAATCAAAACACACAAGGCAAAAAGGTGTATTCCAAGAGTATAAGCGCAAAATTTATTACAAAACAACACATCAGAAGTACTACTTCGAAACAGCTAAAATCAATAAAGGGTGGAGCCTGTTCATAAGAGTTACCAATGCAAGGCTCCATATTTCGATTATCAGAGAGGCTCCATATTTCGTTAAGGCTCGATTATCAGAGAAAATATGACGAATGATGGCATGCTAAGATGATTTTTACTTTCCCTTAAAGTTTTCTCAGATAATGAAAACTTAGGAACTAGTCCATCGTAAGAAAATCACCAAATGACGTAAGATAAAGACTGAATTAACGTCTGAAAAAGAAAAACACCATAATGCAATATCTGACCAGTAACAGTTACCGCCGCAGCAAGAAGCACTCACTTAAAGTATTTCCTCGAATAATAGCCGGGGGCGATTTTTTTTTCGTACCAAAAGGGGGCGATTATTCGAGGGAAGGCGATTATTTTAGATATTGCTCACTAGAAATCGTACCCTAAATATTTTGTTTTATTTTTCCATGAAATAAAAAAAATAATCATATCAAATATAGTGAATCAACATTAGCATTTAAAATGTTCCAAATTTGGCTCCTTGATTAATTTTCAATGTCATACATTGTCCTCTGCGTCAGAGTTTGAATCGTCGATCACTGATCAGTTTTGCTGGGTCAGACTCCACTTAAGCTTTATCCTCAAAGTTTATCGCTATGGGTAACCCTTGCGAGTAACCTAGGGGGGCTGGAGTGGGGGCGATTATTCGAGGGAGGCGATTGTTTTAAACATTTCCGTCAAGGGGGGGGGGATTAATCGAGCGACGGCTATTATTCGAGGAAATACGGTATGTCACCGCAATGAAAATTAATGAAGGTTCCAATATAAGGGACTACATGCCCATTCCCTGGCGATGGAAGGTCGGTCGGAAATAAGTTTAATCGACCTTTTATTGTATCCTTTTTGTAAGTAAAGATTTTTTTATTGTTTATCTTTTTCTCAAGAAACAACAGCGAGTTCTCTCTTTACCTCAACAACAACGGCAACTACTCAAGCTTCTCCAACAACGACAACAGTTGTTCCATCTTCCACAATCGCTCAAGCTGCGTCAACAAAAACGAAAGCGACGAGTGACCTATCAGCAACTGCTCGAACTGCTCCAATAACAACAGTTATTCCAACTTCAACAATCGCTCAAGCTGCATCAACAACAACGAGAGCGACGAGTGACCTGTCAACAACTGCTCCAATAACAACAGTTGTTCCACCTTCAACTATCGCTCAAGCTGCATCAACAACGGGAGCAACGACAACAACTGCTCAAACTTCAACAGCAACAGCAACCACTCCAACAACGAATCCTTACGACTTCAGTGGGGTAAGCTAAGAAGTTACCATTCTTTCTTTCCTTGCAAATATATCTTGACGCTCCTGTTACGCTAGGGCGCTATTGCTCGCTATTTTTCTATGAGAGTGGAGTTGTTCTTATCGCCCCGAACGGTAAAGGTGTGGTTGCATGGATACGTGGTAACTCAGCTGCCAGACGCAATTTTGTATTTGCTAAATTAGCTCTCTGCACACGGAACAGATAGTGAGACCAATGAAGTAAGTTTAAACTCGATCTGGTGCTCTACGACCGTGTGAACTAGAACCGCAAAACATTGAATGGTTCCGTCTGAATGAAATGTCCCGTCACATTTTTCAGTCAGTGCAAGTAGATTCGTCCGTTGGTGTGTAAACGTAGCCTTAGGCAGGGGCGGATCTAGGATAAATACTGACCGATCTTCTAAATGAGCGCCTTAGGCGCAAGCTATAAGGGGTTCGGTGGCATACCGCCGCCAGTTGGGAGAGCGCGGGTCTGCTGAGCGGGAGGTCGCGGGTTCAAACGCCGGCCGGACAAACAATCAAGGCCTTTAAATAACTAAGGAGAAAGTACTGCCTTTGTAATGACATCTGCAAATGGTTAGACTTTCTAGTCTTCTCGGATAAGGACGAAAAACCGTAGGTCCCGTCTCACAGCACTTTCACTGATCTGTTCCTGTGGGACGTAAAAGAACCCACACCACTGTTCGAAAAGAGTAACGGACGCAGACCCAGGTGGTGACGTGTGGCCAACCGTTTTCACCACCTTTGTCGTTGTCGTTGCTTAAAAAGTTCCCGGAAGTCAATTTTGAAAGCCGAGCTGACGAGACGTTATCCACCTCGACCCAGGCTCCTAATGTTGCTGTCACCTTTACTTTCGGGCTAAAAGACCATTACACTTGCAGGCAGTTCATAAGCGACTAAAGGTGATGTTACACAGGACGATTTGAAACGAGACGACGATTTTAAGCGCAAGACAGTTTCGAATTGCTGCAACATTGTTCCATTATTGCAACACCGTGTTCCGCTAAAAAGTGTCGTTGCAAACCGTCCCGTGTAACGTCACCTTAAGATAACACTTAGCTAGAGTTTCATGGAACCCAAGGTGAAATTATGGCTATTCCGCAAATGTAGTCGTGTAATCGTTGCCACGGTATTTGTCGTTGAATTACATGAATACTATCTTTCCCTTTGACAATTGCTTTATCATTCATTCAGAATAATTCCATGTTCAAAACAAGCTAAAACATGCTTACCTCCGTCGATGTTAACCAGTGCATGTTGATCGGGAAGTTTAGGATATAAAGGGCTGTTTAGGTCCGCAAACATACTCCAATGTCTACTACATGCTTCCTATACGCCCACGGTGGGCGTATAGGAAGCAAAATATTACGAGGTACTCAGAAACTACGTTTGAATTTTTTATTCCTTTGAGCTCAAACTTTGCAGGATGGTAGAACTTTGAAGTCCAAAAAATCCTAGGTTTTTGTTTTTCGATTTTAACTTTTTTTGGCGGGAAAATGACTTTACAAGATTGACCGCAAAATATAAATTTCAAGCTATGGTAAAACAAATAAATAATTTTGAAAGAGCGTGACGTGATAGGAAGAAATTTGAAAAGAATTTTGGAAAAGCTCAATCGCTTTAGGAGATATAGCATCGTGAAATGTACTTATGTTTCTAAAAATAGTAACAAATGGCGGGAAATTAAAAAATCAAAGCCTCATAACTCTTTAACCAATTGAGTCTTTAAAAAAAAAATTTCACATTCTATTCTATCGGGTCGTGCTTTTAAAAAATTATTTATTTGTTTTGCCATTTCTAGAAATTTTAATTTTGCTGTAAATCTTGAGGCGTCATTGTCCCGCCAAACAACGTTAAAATCTAAAAACAAAAAACATAGGAGTTTCTGGAATACAAAATTCTACCATCCTGCAGAGTTTAAGCTCAAAAAAATAAAAAAATTAAAAATGCAAAAGTTTTCCTACCTCGTAATATTTTGCGTCCTATACGAAAAACCGCGAATTTAGTTTTACTTAGTCTTTTTTTTCCATTCAACTGAAAATGACTATAATTTTTTTTTCCACAAATCAGGCTTGGGAGAACTTTACAATCCCAGAACATCCAGGGGGCACATGGATTCTTATCGCCAGATTTTCCAACAGTGACGATAAGAACTGGATGCGAGACGATGGACACTGGTGGTATGACCAAAATGTCCCCATAGGAACACCTGATCCGTCAGTCAATGCGGACATGATCTCACCAGCCTTCTGGTTGGCCAGCGGCAACGATTTTAAGATCACGCGTAGTGATGACTCCAGTCACATGCCACTTTTGCGGACTACAGATAACTGTCTGGGTGGACAAACATTCCGCTCAAAAATCACAAGTTATGGCGACTTTAGAAACGGCACGGTGTGGTCAAATGACGCATGCCTGGGAAGATGCACTATTCAGTATGCTGGTCAGTACTATTTAACAGACGGGTTTGATCTGGCTGGGTGCGGTGGTGATCTGCAACCCAACAACAAGATCGGCTTCTGGTGTCATTGGGGTAATGGTGATGGGTCCGTTATGATGATTGGTGGAGGAGGAGATTTCTGTTCACGTGCTGATCACGGGATTGGAATAACAGAAGCTAACTATGCTTCTTTTGTTGAAGAAAGCAGCTTCCAAACTGAATTTGATTTTGGATACGATGCTGACGTACAAAATGCTCCAACCCAGAGCTATGCTTTAAACCTATGGATCCTTTGGTCCTATTAAATATATAAATAAACCCAAACACAAGGTAAAAGAGATTGCTTAGCGAGCGAAAAGTTGTAAAGTGCTTTAAGTTGCATCTTGTAAGCATTTTCTTTTTGCTCTCTGGTTGGTCTGATAAACATCAAACAAGGTTCACTTTTTGTCGAATAGTACTTGTAAGGTATTTATATCAATTTCTACTTTGCTTATGAAGTACAAGAACCGCATGCGAAGAGGCTTAGATATTAAGGATAGTTCGTAGGATTTTGTAGCACTTTTTTGTTTACTTTGCCAATAAAAACTCCACAATCAGAAAAGCCTTGTAAGGATTTAAACTTGCTAGCCATACCATTCCATTTTAAAGCCCCACGTTTTACTTTTCGAAGCCTCTGCCTTAAAAACAGTGCAAAATAGTGCGTAGTATAAGACTTCTACCTGTTTCACGAGTTGTTAGTAAAATCCCTCCGCTATCATAACAGAAAGCCAATCTAGGTGGGTATATTTTATCCTTTTCCGATTCACTGCTGCGATTTGGCTTAATAGACCTTAATACTCCATCGCTTTGTTGTTAAAAGTTTTGAATGATCCCAGTCAGATGATTACATTCGTCGTACTCTCACATTGACATGGTACTACTATTCCCCTCTTTGATTCTCTGCTCGATGCATTTTCACAGGCACAAGATTAATTTTCTATTCCCATTCCACACATAAGGTAATGCGAACCCAGTTTAAGAGTTGGAACCTTAAGCATAATAGCGGATCTATCGACGCATGTTTAGTCACGAATAAAGACTCAGCAGGATAATGTGTTTATGGCCAGGTAAAACAATCAAAAGAAGCTCATGTGTAGTTATATCCGAATGAGTCCAAGGCGTATGTGATGCGGCCGATCGCCAGAACAGAAACAGGAAGTTTTGAAGTTTTTTTAAAATCAGTCGCAAAGAAATATTTTAACTTGCTGCGATCGATTGATCGTCATAAACAAGAGGTTTTGACGTGAAATCAGTAGAAAGAAAATAATTTAACTTGCTGCGTCCTTATGTTTAAAGTCTCACAGACTAAGTCGTGTTTTGTTGAAACACAGTTGAAAAGCCGGTTTATTCGTTACCTGCCTCTCTTCCTAGATCATCCAGCTACCCTGAGGTTTCTCTCTTGCATGGCTTTTAGCGTTTACGAAGTAATTCGGGTGGCTTGTCTGTCGCGTGGTTGGTTTGTTTACTCTTCGTGAGAAACCTCTGCAGCAAGCCGCTCGTGATTTCCGTTGAGCATGCTCTTTAGACACCTCCCGAACCTTGGAGTAAGACACGTGATAACAGGTTTTAAAAAACCTGTTTTAACACGTTGAACAACTCAAGGGCATTAATTTTTGACAGATTTGCTGTGCAAACCGGAGCCCGCGTGAGACTTTCTGACGCGACTCGCGTTTCAACGAATCGTTTATCAGAATAGAAGACTTTCAAAGGACTGAAATGTTCCATAATCAAGTCTTTAACTCCTTATCAGTCCCTGGTGCTGTATTATTTTGTAAATGGAGAAGATGCCTCCGTAAGTTTAGAAATACTTCAGTAAAAGAACTCATAACTAAAAGCGGTTGAGTTCCCCCCTAGAAAATTCCTCAGATGGTCGTTTGTCCTGAGAATATTGTAAAGGCAGTGAAAAATAGTTTCGATAAAGCGTTTTTTTGAAAATCATCCACGTTTCGTTGTCCGGAAATCATTAATCATCCTCTTGCCCGGAAATGGGGCGAGTAAAATTCGTTTTTGAGAGAGCATAATTTTTTTTTCAGGTTATAAAATTATATTAGCTGCGGTCACACTACAGACTTTTTACCTGGGTTAACACGACTTGTTGACAGTTTACAGTAGGGAAACTTGATTTTTTAAGTGTGACCGATTTTTCCTAGGTAACTTACCTCGGGCAAATTTTATCGTCTGGGTCTTGGATATGTCTCGAAAACAATAGAGTTTACCTTGACAGCTACCCCGAAGCAATAGCTAGGGAAAAATGAAATACCGAGGTTGCTAGCCAATAGACGCTCATCGGCGAAGGTCTTGATGACAGAACCGGACATAGATCACGCTGTAAAAGATATTTTGGGGGCACGAGTCGTCTACGTCTTCGCCTTTCTTCACCTTGCACGTTGAATTAGCGTAAGAAATAACAGCGAGGTAAAAGAAAAAAACGTCTCTTTGATCAGCTAGATCCCTGCTCATTTTGCCTTCTTGAATTTACGCTCCAAAAAATTTAACTTGCGTGGAAACTTTGGGAGCCGATATCACTAGTATGACCTTCTCAGAATTTTTACCTAGGTAAAACAAAACCCGAGATGAATTTACCTCGGGAGATTTTTGATGAATTTGCCCTAGGTAAATCGGTTTTACCTAGGTAAAAGTCTGTAGTGTGACCACGGCTAATCAACGAACTATTAATCTGGCGCATGCTCAACAGAAATCACGGCGGCTTACTGCAGAGGTTTCTTACGGCGAGTAAACAAACCAACTACGCGACAGACAACGGCTGAGACATTTCAAGCCACGCGAATGACTTCGTAAACGCTAAAAACCATGCAAGAGAAAAACCTCCGCTCGCAGGGTACATTCAGCTGGCATTGAAACATTTCGACAGCCTCAGTAAGAGAAAGAATCATACAAAGAATCATGCCTGACTTTTCGGTGGTTGATACTGACCTCTAACAGCTATTTTGCGCTTCTTAATGCCTATTTTTATGTCAGGGGAGCGAAATTTCCCTTCCTTTTTGCAGCTCTCGTCGACAGCCACTGCGAAACTTCTCCACCACTTCTACGCCACCGTTTTCTTTGTTCTCGTCAAATAGCTTTTTCTATTTAATAAAATCCACTTTCTTTTCGATAAATCGGCGAGGGTTCGTATATGAAATGGAAATCCAAATTCTTGCTCATTTCAAACACTAAAATAAGTCAATCACCTGGAAGCGGGGTCTCAATGAGAAACAGATCCGGACCACTGGAGTGCGTGCAATCTAGCCCCTGATTTAAAACCAGAAATTAAGGTTTCCAGACCGCTTAGAAGCATCAGGAAAGAAAAATTATAATAAAAACAAAAACAGTATGTTACTGAACAGTCGACCGAAAAAAACAGAATCCTAACAAGGTAAGTCAAAACATTCTGTTTGGTTTCTCAGAATACCGTTCAGAAAGAAAACATAACCTGAAGAAACCGATCAAATTAGGTTTTATCATTGTATAAATTCAGGATTGAAAAACTTCACATAGAGATTACGAAAGCATCAAAAGTCGAAATATTAACAAGGAAACATCAACGACACAACAGCTTACTTTAGAAGACTTAAAAAGCTTAGCCGGCTCTAAAGCACTAAACTTAGAAAAAAAGATCAGAATTCCGGGCCCCTGAGAAGACTGTACCTTTGTATGAATGTTTCCATTTCATGAATTTAAAACCAGCGGCTTATATAACAAGATGGCTTAACTCTCGCTTGGGTCTTGGGTTGTCGGACGAAGAAATCATCCGCAAAGGAACCATATTTACCTACGCAAACTTTTAATTTAATATAAAATAATAGAAACTGCATTTGATCTATCAGTGGTGGTATAAAGTTTGCTTCAAATGTCGCGGTCAGTAGGGGATGAATTACCTTCATTATAAGTAGCAATCTTTAGGTCGCAGCCTACTATAAGATTATAAAAATACATGTACAGTGCTTGAGACTAATCTGAAATTGGATCGGACTACCCTTACAGAAATTAAAGAACACAGTCAAATGAAATATAAACAATATACGTAGTTACGAATGGCTTCCTGAGCCTTCAAATTCCGTCTTGCGCTAAAGAAAATTTCTTTCCAAAACTAACGCAGCGTAAGTTGCCATTTTGGATCGTGCTTAGCAGGTTGATCCTAAAACCTACATGTCACATCATTCAGTCCAAACTGGCGACAAATTCAGGTGGCCGGGAAGTTTTAATTACTATGTTTGACTGAGTGGTTATCCAACTACTTGAGTTTCCAGCCAATATGCACGGAATGTTGTCACGCAGGCTAACAAGGTCCAGCTGCGAGGAATGACTCGAAATTGCGACTTACAATGAGGAAAATTTCGACATTTTGTTAGTACCTGATAGATTTGAATGCAGTGGAACGGTTGGTAAATAAAAAGAATTTACATCTTTGTACTTGTGAATAGAAATTTGTCTAACTGGTCAACACCTGAGATATTTTTTTGCTTTGTTTTGTTTTGTTTTGTTTTGTTTTGTTTTTTTGTCATTGTCTGGCGGGTGATTTCTTGAATCAGAGTAGTAGGATGTCCCTGGCATTGTTTACGATTTGCCTAATATCCCGGATGTATGGAGCTGAGGCCGCAAATGGGCAATGCAAGCCTGTTGAAAGATCAGTATCTGGTAAAACTCTCAGGGGTCACACGTTTAAAGAACTTGTAGTAAAAGCGCCTTTTGAATGTCAAAATATCTGTGAAAACGACCCCAGATGTGCAAGCTACAACTACTTCATTCCAGGAAGAGTGTGCGAGCTTAACAGCAAAACCAAGGAGGCAAAACCGGGCGATTTTGTGACAGATGAACAAAGATTCTATATGAAGCGTGAAAGTACGATTCATTGTCATTTTCAGTTTATTAGTGATTTAAAAGGAGAGAGCCTACGTCTACAAGGCGTAGTCAAACCTGACTTGGGGACAAAATTGCAAAAATTTACGACTTGTTCTATTGTCACGTAATTTCAAGAAGATACTTGAACACAAAAGAAACTAGAGGAAATGTAGACTGTTCAAATATGAGCAGAAAGCTAAAGCCTTGATGCTTGTTACAATTTTGATTTATTGAACTACGAAACGACCGTAGTAAATTAATCTTAAATTAACAAGCCGTATGTGAAAACAAATCAATATAACTTTTTATCCGTTGACCCCCAGAGAAATGATTCTTTCAAATATCGCCCTTAAGCATATGTATAATTTATGAAAAGAATGGCAAAATTAATTACGTGGTCTGAATTGAGAAATCTAAACATACA